AACCATTGGCAGTTTCCTATAAAACTAAACATGCAGATGCCATACCATTCAGCAATTGCACTGTTGGGCATTTATCCCAGAGAAATGGAAACTTACGTTCGCACAAAAACTTGTACATGAATGTTCATAGCAGCTTTATTCATAATATTCAAGAACTGTAAACAACCAGATGTCCTTTAACGGGTGGCTGGTTAAACATGTGAAACATCCATGCCATGGAATACTACTCAGCAATAAAAATAATTTCTCACATGAGCAACAACTTGGATGAATCTCCAGAGATTTATGCTGAGTGAAAAGTCAATCCCACAGGGTTACATGCTGTACAATTCCATTTATACAACATTTTGAAATGCAAAATTCTATAAATGGAGAACAGATTAGAGGTTGCTAAGGAGGAGGGTGGAGGAGAGAAGTGAGGAACACGAGGGATCCTTACGATGGAAACGTTCTGTGTCTTGACTGTATCAATGTCAAAATCCTGGTTGGGATATGGTATAGTTTTACAAGATATTACCCTTGAGGAAAACTGGGTAAAAGGCAGACAGGATCTCTTTGTATTATTTCTTACAACTGCATGTGAAGCGACAATTTCTGCAATTATCTCAGAATCTACAATTATCTTAGAGTAAAAAGTTTAGTACAAACAAAATATAAGGTTTAGCTTACGTGCTAAGGCATTTATGCTATATCTTGTTAGTCCCTAATGAAAACAAAGAACTGAACTATGCCAAAATCTAGCAGAACAGACATTAGTTGTCTTTGGTTAACCATTAATATATGCATTTGTGAAAGAGGGAGAAGATTTAAGTTTCCTTAAATGTATTCAATTTAATATTGAATACAAATTAATAAGAATTCAACAAATCTCTATATAGATTTTATGTGGGACACTTAGAAAGGGAGGATATCTTCAAGTTTCCGACATAAGCATGTTGAGTAAGCTATAGGTACATATAGGAATCCAAGTCTGTACATAGTGATTCTCCCCTGATGTTTATAGCAAAGAACTGTATTCCCGGTAATCTTCCTGGAATATTCCTAAATATTCTGGGAAATAATTCTTTTGTTTCTGTGAATAACTATATCCTGACCCCCATGTTTTTATTTATAGTGATTGTACATGTCCATGATGTTGACATAGAGAATACAATTCTGATGCTATTTCAATATACCTTGTATGTATTGATGCATTATGAAAGAGTTATTTTTTGGTTGAGATGTATTTCTGCAATTTTTCCAGAAAGTCAGTATTTCACTTTTAATGATTTAACCATCAAATGCTGTTCTGAAAATAAAACATCTCTAGAATAATTTATTGATGCACATTTGATTGCTATAACAGCAAGTCAGTTATTAGAAAATTTGAATTATAGTGAAGCTATGGTTTGTCTATGCTATGTAATGCATGTGGAGTGTGAAATCTATTTTCAACACTAGTCATGTCTATTTAACCAAAGACTATTTCATTCTTGGTATGATTCTCATGCTCAATTAAATAAAATTATGATTATTTATATATAGTCCTTTCATATAATATTGCAAATTGACATTATTATACTCCAAAGAAAATAGATACTATTATAATAAATCAACTTAAATTTCCACTAGAAAGAAAAGAATTAGCGGGAGAGCTTTGTTGATAGGATTCTTTTTTTTTAAATTTTATTTTATTATGTTATGTTACTCACCATACATTACATCATTAGTTTTTGATGTAGTGTTCCATGACTCATTGTTTACGTATAACACCCAGTGCTCCATGCAGAACGTGCCCTCCTCAATACCCATCACCAGGCTAACCCATCTCCCTACCCCCCTCCCCTCTAGAACTCTCAGTTTGTTTCTCAGGGTCCATAGTCTCATGGTTCGTCTCCCCCTCCGATTCCCCCCCTTCATTTTTCCCTTTGTCGATAGGATTCTTTAAGGCTCTGAGTACAAAGCACTTAACTTACAGACTTGAAAAAGCTGATGTAGCCACACTTTGGCATTCCCACTCTTGGAAGTATTTGCCATTTTTAGCATACTTGTTATTCCTAGAGCTCAGGGCTATGAAAAATCTCCCTTTCACTGCTGAGAAAACATGCCCAAGGAGTCCCACATTGAGTGTGGCAAAAAAATTACACAGGCCCATAAGAGTGATCAATCCTGCAGCTTCCATAGACCACCGACTGATATTCTGGCTTCTCAGAGATATTGCCGTCTACCACTTAGTGACCCCTTGGCCCATTTACCCAAGACTGAAGGTTCTCCAGGGCACAGGGCTTTCAGTGGTTGAGTTAGGAAGGTCTGGGCAAACAGAGATGGATTGGTCACCCACCTGCACTCAACCTCAGGGCCTCGGGTCCTGAGCAGGTTGTCTCCAGAAGTGACCCATCTCCAACTCTGTGCCTTCGGACATCTGTAGCCGCACCCTCTCTCCCTCAGCCTTCTGTCCTGCTGCCAGAGCCCTGAGGTTCTTGATTTCTCATCGTCTCACTTCACCTGCTCAAGGAGTGACCCACAACAGGGTAGGACTCCATGCAGAACAAGGCCCTGCCCTCAGAAAGCTTCTGTTTTGTAAACAATCAGGTTTTTAAGCCAGGTCATCTGATAATCTCTGTAGCTTCTGCTCCAACACTTTGGCCAGTATCCCCAACATCCCCACTGTTTTGTGTTGGAACCACCTGGCAAACCCCCGCCCTGGATAAATTGGTTGTTCATCTCTGCAACCAAGTAGTAACAGAGGAAAGCCACAACCACAGAATCGGTCCCACCTTAGATCCAGGGTCCACATCCTCCCTGGGGCCTCCACGCCACCAAGCTCCCCCCTCCTCCCGGGTGCTCCCCATTCTCTCAAGCAGCTGTCAGGGCCCCTCCACAGCCTTCAGCCCTGGGAGCCCACACCCTCGTTCCCCTCCCAGGGCACGCTGAAGCCTTCAGATGAGCACTCCCTCAACTCCGTTCAGAATCGCCGATTGCCTTCCCCCGTCTTCCAACAGGCTCCCCTGCTGCAAGGTTTCCCACCACAGCTGCGGAATGCAGTCATGGGCAAGGACAGGTGATCAGAGGTAGAAGCCAGCACCACGGAGGAGGGTGGGACAAGCAGGAGCTTCGGGTGCTCTTTAAGGGTAGCTGACATGCCACATCCTGGGAACTAAGCTGGAGAACGAAGGAAGTGAAGTCAGGAGAGATGATTGCAGGGAGAAGCTAGACCAGCTGTCAGGGGACCCAGTAAAGCAAAGAATAGCTGTGTTAACCTTAAAAATAAAACTGTCAGCTATCTTTCCATCAAAAATGGGTTTATTCAGGAAGAGCAGAGAATGGCAACTTGGGACAAGCAGGCGGTGGCAAAATCCTAGGCAGGCCCCCAAAACAAAGGGGAGGACGGATCTTTCCTGGAGGAAATGGGGGGAGTTGGTGGAGCTGTTACAAAATGTTCATTGGTGTAAACTGGGAGTTCAAAATGCAGTGGCTCTTCATTGGCTGAGTGTGACATCTCCCGTTGGCTGGGCTGTGGGAGCAGGGAGAACCCTTTCTCCCTCCTGCCTGGAGAGTGAAGTAGTAGCGAACTCAATTATCTGTCTGCGCAAGTCTTCCTTTTGGGTCTGCAATTGACAACCCGTGGCAGGGCGTGAGCGCTCCCCCTGCTGGCCTCCTCACTCCGTGTTAAATGAGGTTTCCTTCTACCAATTTTCACAGCTGCAAGGGGGCACTTGAGCCAAGGAGCAGGAAGGCCAAGTCACTGCAAACAGGGAAGTGTGGGAACTAGTGCTCTCCGGAGCCGATCTGTCAGTGATCACCAAGGCCAGGCTGTGGCTGTGGGAGCGGCCGCTGAAGCGACCGGAAGATGGTGGTTAAGGTGAGCCAGATGCCTTAGAGAGTGAACAGTGAGCAGGAGGTGGGGAGGTGCCAGCAGGGAGGAGGGAAAGAGAGGCACCCGAGCCCAGTGGGGGAGGGGGATGCCCGCCATGTTCGTGACGACACCTGCCGAGACTAACCTCGAGGGGTGAGCTTTATCGGAGCGGGGCTCTTTTGCTTCGTTTTAGTGGAGGAGTAGTGATTTGTAAAGCGCTACTAACCATAGCCTTTAAAATAGAGTGGCATGGCTTGAATCCGTTGTTTCTCAGCTTTGTGAATTTGGGAAATGAGTGAATCCCCTAAAAGCGGTTTCTTCATGAGCGAAGTAGGAAGAGTATCATAAAGTGCCTGGCTCGTCCTAAGGGTTGAGATGGTGGCATGATGTCCCGTGATTTTCACATTACATATTAGCCATTTGTCCCTGTGTCAAACTCCTCAGCAAGACTGTGAGCTGCTTGAGGGGGCTGATTTCACACTGTGCCCTGTCTATGGCTCACGGTAAGCACTCGACACATGTTTTGGCAAGCAGGGATGAATTATCTGTGGGCTTTGGGCCAGAGCCCCGCCCCAAGTCCCACGGGTACCTCTCACTGACACATTTTCTTTACTCCTTCTCCTGCTGTGACCCTCGTCCCTAGCCTTCTTGCCCCTCACTGAGGTCGTGCATCCTCCTGGCCACTTGCAGATAAACTGGTGACCCTACGAGAGCTTCTGACTAAACTTCCCAGGCTTCCAAACCTGGCGGATATTTCACGATAGCCTGGCAAAGGATCGCTGCGCCACCTGCTGGCGATACCTGGGAACTTCCCCTTTTCCAGAACCTGGAATCCGGGGACAAAGAATCCCAAATCCGGAATGCAAGATTCAGGCCAGAGAGAGTGCGGCCCCGAGCCACCTTTAATGAAGTATCCGTGGTGGACAGGCATGCAGACCACGCTCTCCCTTTGAAAACAAGCGCAGATAAGTGTTTTCCCTGCACATGATGACAGGACAGACACAATACTTTATTATGATATTTTGATAGTGATTTTAATTAAATATTTAATTATTTCAATTATTTTTAATTATTTACATGTTAATTATTTATAATATAATTATTCAATTACGGCAGTTCCTGTCGTTGAACTGTTATAAGCTAGGTTCTTAGCATACGTTAAAAAAAAAAATCTCATTTAGTTTTTACATCTGCCCTGTAAGGAAGAAAATGCTTCTGTTTTCCACGTGGGAAACCTGCAGCTCAGCAAGCTCTTCAGACCTGCACTCCCGGCGCCCAGGACCAGGTAGGCAGCCCAGCGGGTACTAAACCCAGGACTGTCAGACACCAACCGCCCCTCCCTCCTCTCAAAGCTGTAGGGGTTTCAGGAAGATCCAGGTCATTTCCATGTAGTTTTCCTTCCATTCTCCACAAGGGTGGGTGGCCGTCCCTGGCATAGCCTTGGGTTTAGGCAGGTACTGCTTCCAGATTGAAGGACCACTGATTTACGGTCCAGGCCTGCTATGAGCCGTTCACAAGCTGTGCCCTCTTTAGCCACTGCAGCAACCGTGGGAGGTAGGTCCTCCTCTAATTGCCAAGTGAGAAAACCTGCCCAGAGTCCCGCAGCTAGGAATTGCTTGAGTCCATGCTCTGAACCACCACTCAACAGGCTTATCTGTGGATTTTTCAGTATCAAATTGCGATTCAAATGTTTATCTTGATTCAATAAGGTAAGAATGGTAGGGACGCCTGGGTGGCTCAGTCGAAGCGGCTGCCTTCGGCTCAGGTCATGATCCCAGTGCCCTAGGATCGAGTCCCGCATCTGGCTCCTTGCTCAGCAGGGAGCCTGCTTCTCCCTCTGCCTGCAGCTCCCCCTGCTTGTACTCTCACTCACTCTCGCCCACACACTCTCTCTCTAACAAATAAATAAATAAAATCTAAAAAAGAAAAAAAAGGTAAGAATGGTAACACAGACCCACGTCCCCCAGCCAGGCAGTCGGGGCTTTTGCCATAATCCCCAGTTCTTGGGTCTTAGGCTCTTCCAGCCCTTACAGCGTCTTTCTAGCCAAGTCCCTGCATTAAATCGCTGTTTACTAGAATTATCTAGAGTGTTTGTTTTTCTGATTGGACACCGATTAACACCTTCTAACAAGAAAGACATGTTCTTGGCATTGACCTCTCAGGTTCTCATGGAATAAGAAAAAAACATTTGTTTTGTCTTGACTCATGTTTCCCAAGTCATACAATATTTTAGTTACTTTTAAGATCATGCTCCGGATCTCTCTGATGTGAATGCTACTTTTTTATAGATAATTGTGAAAGAATGATGTAGTTGACCTAAAAGTACTTGGGAACAGGGAAACAGTATGACTGTTTGGGGTTGGTTAGTTGGTTTTGAAACATAGCAATTATTTTTTATTGTATTCATCTGTGGTGTACTACATTCAGCAAAGTAGCTGATGATTTTTTTTTTTTTTTAATAAAGATTCAAACAATTCTCTCTCCGGACACCCTACTGAGAAAGGAAAAACTGCCCCACCCTGAATCTGGCTAGCAGAACAGACACAAAGCCAGCTACAAAGTTAACTGGAAACAGTATTACTCCCAAGGTCATGCTAAAGCTGTAAAATGTCATAACAAACCCCCTTTTGAGTGACTTCTGTTTTCTTGGTGAGAAACCTAAAATCAGCTGTCAGAAACTTTGCTGTTTAAAATCCAATCAGCGAGAATGAAAGATCCCACCTCTGCCAGGAAGATCTATGTCTTTAACATAGAGAAACAGCCTGCCTTTCAACCCAAATGTAGGCTCCAGATAAGGGTTTTCTAGATAAGAAATTTATATAGCTATCTTCATTTGCTAATTTCCAAGAAGCAAAGCCCTGAGTCTGATTTGCAGTTTACACCCAAAACTGACCCCTTACACACAGCCCTATTTGCTTGAAGTTATCCAAACATTACTTCATTTAAATTTTATCTAAACTCCCTTCCCCCAAATTACATAATAACCTATCTCTTTCTTTCTTTGGTGAAATGCCCCAGGGCTCTGCTGATAGGCAGGCTCTATTTCCTTGAACCAATAAACCTGACTTTGTCAGACTTGGGGTTTGTCCAGATGGCCTTTGGCTGAGCAGGCTAGGACAGCATCCACAGATCCAAATGTTCTTGCCTCACAGTGAAGACCCCCACCCCACCCTCCTTCCCAGCCATCAGGAAAGCTGAATTATTATTCAGAGTTGTTTGACGGGCATAAAACAGATCAAAAGAGTAGAATAGATTGGAAGGGGTCATTCGTCTAAATTCAGAGATAGGAAAACAAGATCGTCTTTATTCCCCAACAGAGAATGCAGCCAAATTATTCTTATAATCCAGATTTAGTGGCTCGCTCCCTAGAAGATGGTGATGAGTAAATGCTTCATATCACTGACAGAGCTGTATTCCAAGGCACCGTTCTGTGAGCCATGAGACATTCTGTCTCCAACAATTTAAGTACTGATTTAATTAGAACCACTCAGTAAGTTTTGAGATGTCCTGCCATGATAACCAATAACTTCCATATCATCTACTTAGTTGATGTAGATTGTATCACAATGTTTTGGTTATCTATTGCTGTGTAACAAATTACCCCCAAACTCAGCAATTGAACACAACAAACATTTATCATGTCACACAGTTCCTGAGGCCAGGAATTCTCGTTATGGACATTGCTAGAATTCTTAGGGAATTTAAATCCAGATAAAAATAAGTTGATACTACTCCTAATTGAATGGAGATACTATGTACTTAAATTACGTTAGTATAAATGCAATCTTATGAAAGCCTTTATTGTTGTGTGTCTTCGTATGCACAGTCAGCGTATTGACATTCCTCAGGTCAGGAATACAAATGCAGCTTGTGTTAGGATCCATAACCCATGGAAATTGTACAGTTCAAAAGTTGAGCAAGTCAGGGGTGCCTGGCTGGCTCAGTCGGTGGAGTGTGTAGTTTTGATCTCAAGGTCATGAGTTGGAGCTCCACGTTGGGCATTTTAAAGTCTTCTCTAAAATGAATGGTATTTCAGGGCGCCTGGGTGGCTCAGTCGGTTAAGCGTCTGCCTTCGGCTCAGGTCATGATCTCAGGGTCCTGGGACCGAGCCCCACATCAGGCTCTCTGCTCAGTGGGGAGCCTGCTTCTCCCTCTCCCTGCTGCTCCCCCTGCTTGTGCTCTCTCTCTGTCAAATAAATAAATAAAATCTTTAAAAAAATAAAAAATAAAAACAAAACCCAATAAAATGAATGGTATTTATTCTATGTGGCATATTTTTATATTCAATTAGTATTTAACATGCATTCTGGTAACCTGTCCATATTTTTTAAATACTCATCAGGGCTTCATGAAAGATAAGGCAGTGTGGACTACTGGATGAGTCCAGAGCGAGGGACTCAGGCAGGCCTGAGGCTGAGTACTGGCTATGCCCCTGACTCCTGTATGACCATGGACAAAGTACTTGACCTCTCTGACCTTCCATTTTCTCCCTAGTAAACTGGGAGTAAAATACATAATACATACGTAATGCCATAGAGTTGTTCTGAAGATGGAATGAGATGTGTACGTAAAGCCTCTTGGTTCTGTGCCTGATGTGTCCGTCATTCTTCAAGTGGTAGCTGTAGTTATATTCGGTCCCGCATAAAAAAGGCAGTGAAGCCAAGTACAAACACAGAACCATTTTTAATGTCCATTGGTCGATTTGAGAAGTTAAAAAATTCTGTTAATAAATGCTAATGAACGTGTACAGGTAAGCATAAAGCTCTATTGTGATAAATTCTATATTTTGTCTCCTTTTCTTTCTCTGTGAGTCTGATAAAGCTTCGTCCATACCTTTATGCATAGTCTCTCTGAATCATTTTGTTTGGGGTACGTGTCTTGTTTGCAGCATATAGTTGGGTCTAGTTTTGTGACTCAAAGGGAAAATCTTACTCTTGTAGTAGGTGAGTTAGGCCTGTTCACAACTGGTATGTTTGGTCTGTCAAATTTTATAATGATGTCTATTTTATTTACTATACTTCTTTTTCTACAAGATGTGCGTTCTTGGGGTGCCTCGGTGGCTCTTTTAAGTGTCTAACTCTTGATTTCGCTCAGGTCATGATCTCAGAGTTGTGAGATCCAGCCTGGAACCTGCTTAAGATTCTCTCTCTCCTCCTGCCTCTCCCTCTCCCCACCCCCATGCATGCCCACTTTCTCTAACCAAAAAAAAAAAAAAGTGCATTTTTTACTCTTATTTATTAAAGCATTCTTAGTATTTAGGAAAGTTCATGTTTTCTTCTGGTGGTTACCTCTGTACTTAGGCCTTGTTTCTTCTGCAGTGTCTAATCGGCTATTAATTCTAGTGTATGGTTCATCTCTAGAGTTTTCTTTTTTTTTATATTTTTTTATTAATCAGAGAGACAGAGAGCACAAGCAGGGGGAGCAGCAGAGGGAGAGGGAGAAGCAGACTCCCCGCCAAGCGGGGAGCCCAATGTGGGACTCGATCCCAGGACCCTGGGATCATGACCTGAGCCGAAGGCAGATGCCCAACCAACTGAGCCACCCAGGTGTCCCTCTAGAGTTTTCATTTGTGTCTTTTTTATATCTTTCTTGTCTCTATTTAACACATTCAAGCTTTTCCTTCTTGAACATAGTAAGAGTTTTATTAACGGTTTGCTTTGTCTGCTGATTTAATCATCTTGTCATTTCTGGGTCTGTTTCTATTCATTTGCTTTTCTCCTCGCTGTGGGTCATATTTTCCTGCTCCTTTGCATGCTCAGAAAATTTTTCTTAGGATTTTATTTTTAAGTAATCTCTAGATCCAGTGTGGGACTCGAACTCACAACCCCACGCTCAAGAGTCACATGCTCTACCAACCTGAGCCAGCCAGGCTCCCCTGTATGCTCAGAAATTTTTGATTGATGGGTTAGCCTGGTGATGGGTGTTAAAGAGGGCACATTCTGCATGGAGCACTGGGTGTTATATGCAAACAATGAATCATGGAACACTGCATCAAAAACTAATGATGTAATGTATGGTGATTAACATAACATAATAATTTAAAAAAAGAAAAAAAATGATTTGGTTTGGGGAAAAAAAAAGAAATTTTTGATTGAATACCAGAACACCAGCATTTTTTTTTTTTTTTTTTTTACTGAGTATTGTATCTTGTTTTGAGTACTAGATGTTTTTGTACTCCTGCAATATCATTGAGCTTTGTTCTGGGATGAAGTTAAGCTATTTAGAAACAGTTTGATCCTTTCAATTTTGCTTTTTGGGTTGGTTAGGTGGGATCAAAGCAGCGTT